TCGGGTACCAAACTGTAATTTACCAAAATTTGTAGTAAGTGACCAGAAAATTAAAAATTGAAATTGAAAATCATAAATACAAAAATACAAACAAATTACAAATGAGTATCCAAACAATGAATTTGAATTACATGTATTTCAAAAGCTAATACTTCAAATACATCCATTTCAAATGCTAGTATTTCAAATACCTTACATTTAAAATACACTTATCCAAACGCACCCTTACAAAAATGAAAATAGTTTATTGGCTTTATAATCTCTAAATTTTAGAGTCAATACCTTAGTTTGGTCCGAACTATACACAAACTTTCTACTTTGGCTCATGGTTTTCGAAATTGCTATCCAGACTTGTACTATGTACCATACTTTCTAACTTGGCCTTAGGGATGGCAATGGGTCGGGTTGGGTCGGGTTTTGCCAAACCCAAACCCATGGGTTTATCCGTGAAAAAAACCCGGGGTAAAACCCATTGGGTTTGAAAAACTCAAACCCAACCCAACCCGCTGGGTATCCGCGGGTTCATGGGTACCCACGGGTTTTTGTCGTAAAAAATTTACAATGACAAGTTCCTATCAAAATTAAAGTCAAATATCAATCTCTCAATACAAATTATCCATATATAAAACACCATTCTAGAAAATCCAAGCAAATCACAAATTAACTATACAAATTGTTCAACACCAATCTAGAAAACTCAACCCCACCCTCTCTCTCTTCCTTTTTGAATCTCTCCCTTCTCTCTAAAAAGTAGTAACTTTCTGCAATTTTCAAAGGGTGCCGCCGGCACCCCATGGTGGCCGGCGGCAACCCACTCATCTCCCCTGCTTCCCATCTAGGGCTGGCTATTTGGACCGGGACCGGATGAAAAACCGGAAACCGGATCGTATAACCCGGACCGAGACCGGATAGTAAACAATCCAATCCAATCTTTGGGCTTAGATTTGAGGTAAAAAACCGGATAAAGACCGGATAAGAGAGCTCAACACCCAAAACTTAAGGGTAATTTGCATAAACGGTCACAAACCTTTGCACTTAGTACAAAACTTCACCAACTCCTCACCCTTTTAGGCCTTAGGCCACTCAAATTTCCACAATCTCAATATAAAATCAAGACCGAATTGGGACCGAACCGGGTCAAGACCGGACTGTATCCAATCCAATCTTCGGTCTTTATATTTTCAAAAAAACCGGACTGGACCGGATCAATTTGGGCCAATTTAACCGGACCGGACCGTATAGCCACCCCTATTCCCATCTTTCTTCCCCTGCTTCTCCTCATCTTAGTCATCCATCTTTCCCCTGTTTTGATTTCCTTTTGTCATCAGTTTCTTGGGTTTTCCCCCTTTTTCCTTGTTGTTGCATGTTCCAGCCATGGTTTGGCTATCATTTTACCCTCTGTGGGTCTTCTTCCTCCCCTATGTTGGGATGTTTTTTTTGTCCTCTGATCTGATCTATCAGATCTAGAGATGTTCTCACCCTTAGATGTAAAAGGAGGTTGATTCTTTTGTTTCGACTTGTCTTCTCCTCCTCTCTCCTTTCGTCCACCTCCTTGCTTCACCTTGCAGGTTTTGGTGTTTCGGAGATGCGGCGCTCAGCTTGGACTCGGAGAGAAGATCTTGAAGACAGAAGTGCACCACCAAGATTTCGGCACTGAACGCCCTCTCGACCGGAGGCTTCTCTCGCTGGTTTCAACGTTGGGGGAGCTTTTGGAGTTTGGTCCGGCGAGGTTTCGGATTGGGGTGGTTCTTGCGCCTCTCGTTGTCCTTTGTCCGGGGTGGTTTTGCTCCGACCGACTTTCTTGGTGCTTTTGTGGTCACCGTCCCATGGACTCCGGTTGGTGGGAGGGAGGCTCGCTTGTGGCAGCCAGCGGAGGTGGGGAATCAAGGGACAAACAATTTGGCAGCTAGGGTTTGGAGATCTGGGCTCGGGTTGGGCTTGGTATGGGCCCTATTGGGTTTCCAGTCTTTTGTTTGGTCCTTGGGCTTTGGGTCTGGTTTTTTCTGGCCCTTTGTTGCTTATTGTTTGTATATGTTCTTTTCCATTGGGCTTGTCCCATTTGCAATCTAACGGATCCTTTAAAAAAAAAAATTTAGAAACCTCAAGAAAATTGAAGCAAATCACAAATTATCCATAAATAACATGATTAATTGAAAACTTCTTTTTCAATTAAGTTTCTTCACTCTCCACTCGATAACATCAACTTCATTCTACACAATTAGAAAGAAAAAATGAGACATGTCTTTCCAAACATATATAAGATTAGTTGTTTAGAATATTAAATATACCGAGAAAATTAACTATATGGGTGTGAGCGGGTACCCATGGGCAGTGGCGGAGCCACATGGAGAGGAGGGGGGTGCTTGCACCCCCCTTGGGTTTGGAGAAAAAATTTCTGAGTAGGGGTATATACAAATTCGAACCAGTGATCATTCAGTTACAAGAAGAATTTCTTACCATCTCAACCGAGTGAGTTTTGTTATTCAATGCACTTTCGTCTATATTTATAGTAATAAATTGTTATCTTTTGTTTAAACTCGCTCATTTCTTTTGTAGCTCTACAACAGAGAAATTTCTTCTTTTGTTTAAACAAAGCTGAAATTCAAGAAGTACCAATTGAGGTTCACTTGTTTGTTTCACAAAATCAATTCCAAGGTACTTCTAAGTTCTAATTTGTAATATTTGATGAATGGAAGTCTTGACTTGTATGTACTGAACTTATTTGTTTGACGTTGTAACCGGTGTACGTAAAACTATTTTAATGTAATCGTAAGAATTTACAGTATTGCGTTGTTGACTTTTTGTTTCATTTAAAGTTGACTTTTCTATTGTATATGTGATTTTTTATGATATGATAAAGACACCCCCTTGGCCAATTTTCTGGCTCCGCCACTGCCCATGGGTCGGGTTTACCTAAACCCAAACCCAACCCAACCCGATGAATAGCGAACGCGTTTAAACCCAAACCCGGCCCAAAACCCGTCAACACGGATTTTACCCGCGTTGACCGGGTTGGGTCGGGTGGGTACCTGTGGGTTCGGGTTTTGTTGCCATCCCTAGCCTTGAACCGAGTTTGACCGTCAAATTGGAGTTGACCGTTAGTCAATGGCCATCTCACTTTCCACGTCAGCGAGCACTGACTAATTTTTTTTTTTTTGAATTTTTGTATTCATTTTCTTTGCTAATAATAATAATAATAAATGAAAAAAACCCCTCAATTTATCCCCTCCTCTCTCACCTCAATCGAGGAAAAACCATTTCCCAAACCCCCTTCTTCCCCCGAAACCAATGTTGTCAGAACCGAACCGAAGCATGACCCGGTAATGCGAACGGCTCGCACTTTAGTGGTCTAACCGGCAATAGATCGTTTAAAAACCGTTAGAGAACCAATACCTAATAAACGTTATCAGTAATAAATAGTAGACATTTCTTAATTAGAGCTCATCTCTTTCCTTCGAAATTGTGAAAAGGAAATAAGGATTCAGTTTGAGAGCCCGACATTTTTGGTTTATTTCAATTTTCAATTTTCTGCAATTTTTTTAATTAAATTTAGTGGCTGAATTGCAAAAAGGCGGATGAGTGGCTCGAATGGTTAACCGCCTCGGCCGCTTGCCAACCGCTACATAAAACCGGAGCGGCTTTTAGACTGTTTCGAGCCGATTTTGTGACCGGGTGGCGGATTTACCGGCCGGGCCGAGCGGCTCGGCTCGGCTTTAATGACACTGCCCGAAAACCACATCCATCCTCCTTTCCCTTCTCCTCCGCCGCCAGCAACCATCCCTCTCCTCCAACGCTTCCACCTCTCTCTGCCGCGCCGGATTCTCCCTCGCTGTTCTCTATCTCGTTCTCTGACTTTCACCCTTCAAACACCCTTCTAGTAGCAATTTTGGGGTTCCGACTTCCGATTTCCTCCCACATCCCCACTCTCCCTTCAAAATCAATAGATTCCTTTTGCTCACATTCATGGAGCTCGGTGCTGGGAAGCCGGAGACCCGTAGAATACGACATTGGTAGTCACTATACTAGCATCGTCATTTTGAGTAATACTTGCCTCAGAATGGGGCAGTTAGATGGACCGTGCAAACGATTGACACAACCGGCACGAGGGTAGTAGCATACACACCAAATGGGTTTATAGAATTAAGTATAAGGTTGAAGTTACTGTGGAATGTTTTAAAGCTCGTCTAGTAGAAAAAGGTTACAAACAAACTTAAGGTATTGATAATCTCGAAACCTTTTCTTCAGTGGCCAAAATGACCATTGCTCGCACTTTTTAGCTTTAGCTTCTACTAAGGGTTGGTCCATAAGACAATTGGATGTTAATAATGCTTTTATTCCATCAATCCAGATCATTTTTTTTATAAGGGTGAGTAATTCATTAATAAAGAAAGAAAGAAACCGAAAGTTCCCCATCAATCTATATCATATCACACTTTCTTTAGCAAACATACTAATAATAAATTTCTAGCTCTATTAGTGTATGTTTACAATATCATTCTTACTGAAGATGATCTAGATGGCATGAAATTGATTAAAACAAACCTAGATGTTGCTTTCAGAAAGGGTTAATACTTTGTTATGGCCTGAACTATGACCATGTAATCAACTTTGGCCAGTGGTTTGGGAAATTAACATCCTGGCCCGATCTATGCAGCATATTGACAAAATTGGCCTGGAGCGTGGTTTGACCGTTTGTTTGGACGGTCAACACCGTTGACCGTTAGTCAACTGTCCAGGTCACTGCCATGTCAACATAAAAAAATTACAATTTCATTTTTCTTTTTATTTCATTTACAAAAATTGAATAATTAAAAAAAAAAACAAAATCCAAAAATTTTGGCCCACACATCCCCACCTTATCCCCTCACCTTCTTTCCTTTTCGATAAAACCCAATCCTATTCCATCTTCTTCCTCCTTCTTCCCCGACGGCGTAAACATCAGCCTCGACAACCCATCATTCCTCCTTCAGCTTCTTGATCAAAATGAAACAGTGAAGTAACTATCCAATTGCAAATTTTTTTACTGAGGATGTGAAAATCGTAAGATTGTTACCTGAAATGATGTTGAAAGTAACTCTTCTGGGATCAATCTCGAGATCCGATGGAGCAGCGGCGCCGGTCCAGCCAGCCAAAATGTTGACGCCGGGAGCAATCACATCCGGCTTGAGGATCTCCGGCGTGACCCGATTCGGGCCCCGACTGGAAAACGACGCCACTTTGGGAGCCGGTGAGGTGCCTTCTCCAATCACAGTTCCCCTGAACTGAATCGTCGCTGTTGGAGACGCAGCCGATTCAATGTAGGCGCGAATTTTATCCCCTTCCGTCGCTCCAACCATTGTCGCTGGGATGAGATGAGCGTCGGCGAGAAGCTCGTTCCCTTCCAGATCCGTGTTCGCCATGATCATCCCGATACCTCCGGCGAGCTTGACGGATGCTCCTTTCTCGACTCTCGCATTCCCGCAGCGATCGCACAGCACGATCTTCCCCTTCACCTTCGCCGGGTCGAGGTAGCCGGAATAGCAGTACCTGCTCCCGCAATAGGCGCTGTAAACGAGAGGCAAAAGTTCCCCCTCCGGCCGACCGTCCCCGCCGTAGAGCGAAACTCCAGCGTGCACGCTTCCATCTCCGAGGACGACATCGGCGGGGAAATCACGGTCAACGGTGGACGCTCCCATGGTCAAGATCCACGGAGCGATGTTCGTCGCCGTGTAAGCTCCAGGTCCGGAATTCCCAGCCGAGCAGGAAACCACAATCCCCTTCCTCGCCGCCGCGAAAGCTCCGATCGCTATCGAATCGCTGTCGTACGGAGGCGCGTAGCTAGCTCCGACGGAGAGGGAGATGACGTCGACGCCGTCGTCCACCGCCTGATCGAAGGCGGCGAGGATATCGGAATCGAAGCATCCCGGTGACTAGCAGATCTTGTAGGCGGCGATCCACGCGCTCGGCGCCAACCCCCGCGCGTCGCCGGATGCGTAGCCGAACAGGCTGGCGTTCGTTACCATCGGAGGGGATTGTTGGGCTTGATGGTGTCTGTCTCGATTGAAAACGAAAAACAGGGGAGAAGAAGAAGCAGGGAAAGAAGCTGAAGGAGGAATGATGGGTTGTCGAGGCTGATGTTTACGCCGTCGGGGAAGAAGGAGGAAGAAGTTTAATAGGGTTGGGTTTGATCGAAAAGGAAAGAAGGTGAGGGGATAAGGTGGGGATGGGTGGGCCAAAATTTTTGGATTTTGTTTTTTTTTTTAATTATTCAATTTTTGTAAATGAAATAAAAAGAAAAATAAAATTGTAATTTTTTTATGTTGACATGGCAGTGACCTGGACAGTTGACTAACGGTCAACGGTGTTGACCGTCCAAACAAACGGTCAAACCACGCTCCAGGCCAATTTTGTCAATATGCTGCATAGATCGGGCCAGGATGTTAATTTCTCAAACCACTGGCCAAAGTTGATTACATGGTCATAGTTCAGGCCATAACAAGGTATTACTTTCAGAAAAGAAGAAGTTTTGGGTCCTTTACGCTATTTTCTTGGTTTAAAAATATCTCGTTCTTCTAAAGGTCTAACCTTGTGTCAAAGGAAGTTTGCCTTAGATATTATTTCAGATTATAGTCTCCTTGGTGGAAAGGTTGCTGCCTCTCCTGGTGAACCAAACGTTCGACTCTCTGCTGCTTCTGGTGATACCCTTCTTGACCTTTCTCCTTATCGAAGATTGATTAGGCGTTTGTTGTATCTTTACACGACCAGACCTGATATTCAGTATGCAATTCATCATTTTACTCAATTTGTTGCTTCTCCTACTGATATGCATATGCATGTTGCATATAGATTAGTCCGATTTGTGCGAAATAATCCTGACAATGGATTATTTTTTCCAGCAGATTATGAAAATCTTCTTGCATTCTCAGACTCCGACTAGGCTAGTTGCCCAGATACCAGAAGATCCACTATTGGCTTTCGCGCCTTCATGGGTAAATCTTTGATCTCACAGAGATCAAAGAAACAAACCACAGTCAGTAGTTCCTCTACTGAAGCAACGTATAGAGCAATGGGTGATTTATCTTGTGAGTTGCAATGGTTAAATTACTTATTTCATGATCTGAATGTTTAATTTGCATCTCCTTTTTCAATGTACTGTGATAATACTTATGCTATTCGAATTGCAGAAAACCCGATCGCTCGTGAAAAGACCAAACACATTGAAATAGATTGCCACCTAATTCGAGAAAAGCTTGATGTTGGATTAATCAAAATCTTTCACATTCCTACTAACAGCGAGACTGCTGGTGTACTCACCAAATCATTGCCCATATACCGGTTTGAAGACTTGATAGGCAAGCTAGTATGTGTGATGTACATGCTCCAACTTGAGGGGGGTTCGTAGTATAGGATACAAAGTGTAATTGTGTTGCTTTCAGGTAGTTAGATGTAATTTTGTAGATTATAGGTACTAGTTAGTAATTTGGCCGTTGGTATATGTATTACTAGTTGTACAGTAGGAACATAGCACTTTTCTCTAATCAATCAAAATCGGATTATTCCGTTCATCTTCTGCAAATCTCAATTCTTGAATCTAGCGGGGCAACCCAGACAGATAAATTCCAGAAACAAAATGTAAACAATACTTCAACTGAACGGCAATCTCCATTCCAACTCGGGCAAAACCATCAAAAGTGATTACTGCATCCATATTTATTAACCAATCCCACTCACCCTCTGCAAGAACAGAAGAATCTGACAGCAAAAATCAATGAGAAGCGAGTCCTTTTTTAAGTCCAGACCAACACAAGCTGCACGAGAACAAAGGAGCCACTGCCATTAGTGTATGCGTCTGTATATAAGTTCTAAATGCAGAGCGTTTCCATAAATGCAATCCCCTGCCCGCCATAGTCGTACTGCAGCATTTATTCATCGCTAGCTCCCCCCAAACAGATTAAAAAAAAAAAAAAAGCTCTAAACAACCAGTACGCAGAGAGACAGACATTGATCCCTTCCGTTTGAAATTCAAGGTTCAAGCGCCAATGGGAACTTGTAATAAAGCTACCCAAAAAACATCCCGTGAGGAAAGAGCTCTCTTACTGAGTTTTGAGTTTGCAAACAAAGGAAGATAACCCTTACTCCTTCTCTCTGTCTTCCCGCCAACAAAGGATCCTCGTGAGGGAGAGCTCTTCTTGCTTCACGAGTTTCATATTCTTCTATTTGGACACTCAGGGTCGGCTCCTACAAATACCTGCTGAGATTCTTGACCCCAGCCATGCATCCATCTCCAAGCATCTACTTGATCTTGAACTACTTCCCAAATGGAAGCTAAAGTTGTCACCTTTCTCCATGTCCTCTTCTCTTGCTTACTCTGCCTTCATGCAAAGCCTCTGCAAACCTACATTGTCCAGCTCCACCCACATCCACATGGTTTCACACCAACAAGCTCTGCATTTCCCTCCAAGTTTCACTGGCACCTTTCCTTCCTTGAGCAGTCCGTTTCAGCTGACGACTCTTCCACCCGCCTTCTCTATTCCTACACCTCCGCCATGGAAGGCTTCGCTGCTCAGCTCTCTGATTCCGAGCTGGACCTGCTGAAGAAGCTGCCTGGTGTCGTCGCCGTTAGGCCGGACACCAGGCTTCAGCTCCACACTACTTACTCCTACAAGTTCATGGGCCTCACCCCTGCCAGAAAAGATGCTTGGTACCAGTCTGGATTCGGCCACGGCACCATCATTGGGGTTCTAGACACCGGAGTCTGGCCCGAGAGTCCGAGCTTCAACGACAGGGGAATGCCTCCCGTTCCCGGGGAATGGAAAGGGATTTGCCAACAAGGGCAAGACTTTGATTCCTCAAACTGCAACAGGAAGCTCATTGGAGCGAGGTTCTTCACTAAAGGTCACACGGTGGCTTCTCCTTCGTCGTCGCCTGCAAACACGATTCAAGAATACGCATCGCCTAGAGATTCCCACGGGCATGGCACGCACACTTCTTCGACCGCTGGAGGTGCTTCGGTTCCTAAGGCTAGCGTGCTCGGGAATGGTGGCGGTGTTGCTCGAGGGATGGCTCCTGGGGCTCACATTGCCGTCTACAAAGTTTGCTGGACAAATGGCTGCTACAGCTCTGATATCCTGGCTGCCATGGACACAGCTATTAGAGATGGAGTTGATATCCTGTCCCTCTCCATAGGAGGATTCCCGCTACCACTTTTTGCAGACAGCATAGCAATCGGTAGCTTTCGAGCAGTGGAGCATGGGATTTCAGTTGTATGTGCAGCTGGAAACAGTGGTCCTCTCCAATATTCAGTTGCCAATGAGGCTCCATGGATTGCAACCATAGGAGCAAGCACACTGGACAGAGAGTTTCCAGCAATTGTTCAACTCGGGAATGGTGAATTCCTCTCTGGGGAATCCATGTTCCCGGGAAACGAGTTTCCAAGCACCACAAAGGAGTTTGAACTGGTTTACGCACCAGCAGGTGGCAAAAAGGGAAGTGAATTCTGTTTTGCAGGTTCTCTCCCCAAGGTAAAGATCCAGGGGAAGATGGTGGTCTGCGACCGAGGTGTCAATGGAAGGGCTGAAAAGGGTCAAGTGGTGAAGCAGTCGGGTGGTGGTGCAATGATCCTAGCGAACACAGCCATCAATATGGAGGAGGATTCTGTTGATGTCCACGTCTTGCCTGCAACATTGGTGGGCTTCACAGAATCACTTCGTCTGAAAGCTTATATCAACTCCACAAGAAATCCAAGAGCTCGCATTGTGTTTGGTGGAACTGTGATTGGGAAGTCCAGAGCACCAGCAGTGGCTCAGTTTTCGGCCAGGGGACCAAGCTTCACCAACCCCTCAGTGCTGAAACCAGATGTAATAGCACCTGGAGTCAACATCATTGCAGCTTGGCCTCAAAACCTGGGGCCTACAGGTCTTCCAGAAGATTCCAGAAGGGTGAATTTCACTGTCATGTCAGGAACATCCATGGCGTGTCCCCATGTCAGTGGAATTGCAGCACTGATAAGATCAGCTCACCCAAAATGGAGCCCTGCAGCTGTTAAATCTGCAATGCTGACCACCGCAGATGTAACTGACCATTCTGGGAATCCCATAATGGATGGCGATAAACCGGCTGGAGTTTTCGCCATGGGAGCTGGACATGTGAACCCCCAGAGAGCCATCTATCCAGGGCTGATATATGATATCAGGCCAGAAGATTATGTTACTCATCTGTGCACACTTGGGTATACAAGATCAGAGATCTTCACCATCACACACAGGAACGTGAGTTGCAGCGAGCTGCTGAAGATGAACAAAGGTTTCAGCCTCAATTACCCCTCCATTTCTGTAATTTTCAGGCAGGGAACAAGGAGGAAGATGATGAGGAGGAAACTAACAAACGTAGGCCGACCGAATTCCATATACTCAGTGGAAGTGAAGGCTCCAGAGGGAGTGAAGGTCAGAGTAAAACCGACAAAGCTCCACTTCAAGCAAAGAAATCAGGTTTTGAGCTATAGGGTGTGGTTCATATCGAGGAAGAGAATGACAAGGGAGAAGCTGAGCTTTGCAGAAGGCCATTTGACATGGATAAACTCTCAAAATCACCTCACCAGGGTCAGAAGCCCTATCTCAGTGACATGGAAGAGGAAATAACAGTGGCGTTTTTACGGAAGGGACAACCAAGTAGCATTTGTTCAACCTTAACTTCATACTATTGGAATTGCACCTGATGAGGATTCCATGCTCATTCAGATACATCTTAGATATTCTACTTGGCTAAGATAGAGTTATCGTTTTTCAGCTTACTTCAACAAGTCAAGACTCTTGATCTTGTCTTACCTACAACATTAGTGTCATGTTCAATGAAGATTCTTGCTCTTTTGCCTTTCTCATTCAGAAGAGAGTACCATACTCCATTTACCAGACAACATTCTCAAAAAAAGATCTCTAATGCACGAAAGTAACATGCTCTAGGTCAAAGCAGAATCCCTCTGGAAAAATCGGATGCCATTGGAAAATTCAAAATGGCAACCATAGCTTTCATTCAACAAAACACTTCCGGAAGACGGTACCAGACCAGAACATTTCTGAAGCTTCACTTCCACTAATGTGCACAAGCAAAAGCTAAAATGGAGAACAAGAACACAATAGAACTTGTAAGTGAGATATCAGAAAAGAGAGAAGGGTGTAAGTAAGTAAGCAACATACATTGCCTCATTTCTTTACAAACTGCAAGCCATTCGCATTAGCATATCTCTCCATGAACCTCATGAACCTGTCCCACTCCCTGGGAGTCCGCATCACGTACTTGGCTTCGATGCGAGCCGGCTTCCCGTTCACAAACTTGGCACTGACATCAACCGACTGAAGCACACCCTCCTCGTCAATCATGAAGAAGCCAGTGATGTCGCCGAGTTCACCGGACGAGTCAAACACAGAAGGCTGCTCGAAGTTGAATATGGCCATGCCGTTGGTGCCGTCCCTCGACTTGGTGAGCTTCACATCCGGTATTGTCTGTTCATCGGTTCCTTGGATGAACTGAATTGATGGCTTCGCCATCATTGTCACCACAACCCCGGACGAACCCTGTGGATTCCGCTTGATGGAAGCCGTGCGGTGGTTACAAGGTAGGCGCAAGGACTGCCCATTGAAGAGGGATCTTGAGCAATGGAGCGCCAAGCCTAGTAGAAAACAGAGTAGAGATTGAACATTTCATCGACCGTGGAAAGTGAAGTGAAGAGCGGGAGTAACATATCAAGGAATCCCAAATTCCCCAGCTGGGTTAGATAAATACCTGAAAGAGCTGCTCTGGGTTGCTGATAATGGTGGCGTTGGGAGACTGGGGAGGCTAGCGAAAGGGATTGCTGCAGCGCTGCCATGGCTGCTTGGGGGAGAAGGAAACCAATGACGGAGAGGGGCTATGGAGGAAGAGAAGGAGATTGAAGGAGAATTGGGGTTATGAAAGGGTGTGGTTGTGGCGGGTAGGAGGGTGGAAAGGATGGGTGTGTGTAACGACGACAGCCATTCACTTGGCAGAGGTATTCTGTACTTCTTAGCTTCAAGAAACTGTCAATTTGGATTTTCATAAAAAAGAAAATGGATATATTGCTTTGCCGCTGCCGCCACCGCCACAGCCGTCGTCTGCCCCGTCGCCGCGGTAAAGCGGTTGCTGCTGTTATTATACGCGTGGCTTTTTCTGGTTTGGAGACGGCCCGATGCTGATTGGGCCTTTGGGCTCGCTCGCACTAGGCAAAATAATTGCTGTCCGGAAAACCTTTGGACTGTCAACCTGACATGATTGTTGGCCGATTTGAGCAACGATTGGTTCTACATTGAATTTTACCAAATCGATAGGATCAAATATATTTTGATTTGATTTTGATTCTAAGAATTATCTTAAGTGTAATAAAAAAGTGAATCGAAATTGAATTAAAATCAGATCGAGTCGAACAAACATGATATTGATACAATTTTGGTCCTCAACTTTTCTTTGATTTTGGTATGCTCTAATTCTATCCCGAATCCATTTTGATACAAATCGACAGATGCCCACTCTTATCAGTGTTGGGTAGTCTACAACCTCATATAAACCGAGCACATACTCTAGTCAGTGGTCACTAAAGGGGTTATGTAGAAATGGAGGTCGTCAAATCTTGAAACTCAGACTTCTTCTTTCCAAACTTTCATCTTGGTTGTCACGTCTTCGTTGTCACTACCATAATATTAGTGTTCTTAGGATTAACAGATATATATGGTTGGAATGTTTGCACATAGAATCTTGAATTTGGATTTACATGGATAAGATTGGTCGCGACCCCATGAGGGTTATTAAATTGGTTACACGACTCAAGACGACATTGTTAGTGTAGTGTTCGACCAATATCGTATTCACAGGTCTCAATAGCCTAGACTACTTCTCACTCGGTCATTATTAAGTCGATAGCGTTTAGGTTATTTTGGAAAACAAATGGAAAATAGCATTGAAGAAAGCAGAGATAAAAGCATGTATTTCGGTGTATCACCCTCGCCCTAGATATTAGATCTACCATGCAAAAGATAATTATGTCGGTTTGTGGGAAACAAGGTACGTGACTCACAAATGTGGGGACTAGATAAATGGGAATGCAACTAGTCCCCCTCCTAATACGATTCCCTTACCCAATGTCACCTCAATCAGGTTCATAATACTAGGGATGCAGTCTAGCCCCTTCCAATATGTTTAACGTCTATGCACACGAGCTGGACATGTCTGTGGTCATGCATGCATCACTCTAACATTGCCTAGGTGGGCATCTCGACTGGGAGGGGATGGTCACCTCGTCCACCAATCATTCATCTACCATAACAAGCCAAACCGCTCAAATCTAGTTTAATTCATGCACTCTTAAGTAGTAGACTACCATGAAAAGAATTGGAGATACAAGGTTTAAAGCATAATTACCATAGATAAAGTATATAAACTCTAGTCAAACTCATTCACTCACAAACCCTAACAAAATTACGTCTACATAGTAAAACCTAAATTTAGGATTTGGGGATTAAATCCTAAAACCTTAGGTAACTATCACATAAAGGGGGGAAGAAGATACATGGAAGAAGCTAGACCGCTCAAATCCAGTCTAATTCATGCACTCTTTAGTAGAGGGCTATCATGAAATGAATTAAAGAGGCAAGGTTTAAAACATGATTAGCATAGATAAAGCATATAAACTCTAGAGAAACTCATTCATTCACAAACCCTAACAAAATTACATCTACATAGTAAAATCTAAATCTAGGGTTTAGGGATTAAACCTCTAAAACCTTATGTAACTACCCCATAAACGGGGAAAGAAAATACATCAAAGAATTGGGAAGAAAAATAGAGATGGGTGGAGAGCTCCCTTCCTTTTTAGCTCCTCCTTCTTCTCCTTCTCCTTCCTTCAGCTTCTCTCTCTAACCTCTCTCTAAAACTAGAAATTTACCAAGTGTTTTTAGCTCTCTTGTAAAGGGGTCGGACTCCCCTAATTATAGATTTAAGGATTTCGGGCAAGTTCACGACTGCAGGAAGAAAGTTCGCGGTTGTGATTTGAGGGAAGGAGGCCTCGATCTTGGATGCAGCGACTTCACTTCTTGCTGGCTTGGGAGATCGCAGCTTGACTTCATGATTGTGATCCATGAGTCACGGTCGAGATCTTTCTCACGGGCTGGGACACCAGTAGTCATGAGTCGACTGTCGTAATTCTCTGGTCATTCCTTGGTGGCTACTTCAAAAGTTCACGTTGAGGCCCTCTAGATTGCAAGCGCGATCTCTTCCGTGGAGGCCGCAATCTACATGCTCCACTTTTTGCCTTCACTTCCCTGCCGTGATCTACACCCTCTGGCGGTGATAACTAATTTTTGCCTATTTTCCTACAATTGTGACACTTTTTTTTTGGGTAGAAATGTGACACTTTTTCATTCCTATAACATATGTATCATCTAATACACTCTAAAATGACATAATATTCTCCGAGAAACATATTAGGGATGCATTTGATGAATTATCGATCAATTAGACCATGAAATGGCCTAAAAATTCCCTAAATTATGCACTAAGTAACACCATTTTGAGTGTTATCAATGACATATTAAATTTATAGGAGTTTATATAGTGCCTTTGTTAAACTTAAGGTCATTGTGACTTGGAAATAAGGATATAATCTCTGATGCTTATCAATAAATTACAAGAATCATGATAAATGAAAAATTGGTTGACCTATCTTATCAAACGGGAGATTTGGTTTGCCATGACCTTATTAGTGTTTGATCGAGATTTCAACAATAAGAAGATTTAAGTATTACAATGACATTGTTGTAGACCATAACTTCTATTTATGGTTCTTCATTATCTGCATATGGCCTCTTCTTCCTAGGTGCTCATTTTGTATGGGCTTTTAGTTTAATGTTTCTATTCAGCGGTCGTGGTTATTGGCAAGAACTTATTGAATCAATCGTTTGGGCTCATAATAAATTAACATTTGCGTAAGCTACTAAGCTTTGAGCATTTTACAAGGACATGCTGTAGGGATAACCTATTTACCTTCTGGACGGAATTACCACAACATGGGCATTCTTCTTAGCAAGAATTATTGCAGTAGGATAATGGCTAGGAGGATTTGAAAGGCATTATGGCATTAAGATTTCCAAGGTTTAGCCAAGGCTTAGCTCAGGACCCCACTACTCGCCGTATTTGGTTTGGTATTGCTACCGCGCATGACTTCGAGAGTCATGATGATATTACGGAGGAACGTCTTTATCATAGTATTTTTGCTTCTCACTTCGGACAATTAGCAAGTCTCCTACTCCGCCCATTTCATAAAGTATCCTGCCCGGTTTAACGACATGTACCCAATATTCGGGAGATCCCTTCCCTGAACCCATACATGTTTCTGTAGGTCTTAGGTTAATGGGTTTGGCAGAACATATACGTACCCATATTTTCCCACCCCGTCGTGCGTTTCTTGTCATTGCACGTTGGACTGGTTCTATTTTTCCTCTTCCATTCCATGATACACCAACTGGAACATTCTCATTTTGGCCGCAACATGTCAGATCTCCTCCACCACGAGAACACGTTGGCTCTCCAACTTCTTCATGGAGTAAGACAACGATATGTAAAAGACAGTGATTTGTCAAGCTATTATTCTGTTGTTTCTTAAAAGTGATGGAGTAAGACAGTGATATGTAAAAGACCGAATCCATTCGATTTCTAAAAAAGGATTACTAATCCTTAACTTTCGAGGAATCCTTCATTAGTGGTTGTAAATGGCCAATTTTTTCTAAATCTTTTCGGCCTCTTGGTTTCATAGGAACAAGTCAGTAAGATTGAGAAATAGAACCATCTGATTTGATTTGTTCTCTCCTGCACCCATTGGGCTTATCTCATGACGACACGTTCCCAAACCGACAGTCTCAACTCTCAAGCCTCGACTTTGTAAGCTCACATCATATGATATCCCGAAGAGCTGTATCTGTACCTGTAAGAGTTTCCGTAAGCAAAATTACACATTCGGCACACAAAGGATAGATATTATAAATCACCGGTAGTTCTAAGGGTTTAAGAAGAAGAGGACATCCCATGAAAGCCTGGCAAACTCTTATTTTAGCTTTATACAATTGGGCTTAAAAATTAAATTTCATCATACGGAAGAGCACCCATATTACTAACCGGGCTATCCTTCCTCCTATTTTGCTTACTATGAGGTCTTTGTGTCGATCGAGCCTAGTATTAGTATTTTCTATTTAAGAAATTCATATATGCCCAGCGGTAGTCATAACATTAGTAGTAATCATAGTGCCGATCTTTCTTCACCATCTTGGGATCCCTGGGTTGCTAATTTGGCATCTGGCGCTATTTCTGGTATCCACCACTTCTTTGGTTTCCAGCGCCACTCCCATGCAGGTTGTCGCCTTTCTTGAAATATTTTTTCCCAGAGGTCTTGAGAAAGCTACAATCAATATTTTTTTCCTAACCCTCCCTTCTCGAAAGGAAGAACATGAAAACCCTCCCCCCCCCCCCCCCCCCCCCTTCCGCAGAGACCCAGGATATTGGATCTAGCTGTAAGAAGAATGCTTGGCTAATAAATAGCTCACTTATTGGTCTTCAACCCCTTCACTCAATATGAAGGCCTTGATCCATGCACTGAGATATAAGAAAATAAAAATTGATACATAACTAATCCGTATTGATTCATTTCAATACAAAAAAAAAAATCTTTCACAATTTTAATAATAACAACAATTATGAGTATATGTAAACTAAAAACATGCAAGTCGGATGTGAAGTAGTGTTTCTAGTGACAGACAAGTGAGTAACGCGTAAGAGCCTGCCCTGACTTAGATATTTTTTCTTGATTTGAGTTTTCTGGTGGAACGATACTCTTTCTAGAAAATTATTTTTAATTTAGTAACTATGATTTAATTGATTTTTTATTAATAATAAGTTTTAGGCAAAATACAGCTGTATATCCACAACTATCAGGTTTGTGACAAATATATCCATAACTATCGAAATACACGAAATATCCATTTCCGTCCACTCCGTTAACTCCGTCAGTTAACTTGATGACTGGACAGACGGTGGATTCTTAATTGGCGTGCTTCTGACCCCACTAAATGACTTGGATTAAAACAGAAAAAAATTAGGCAAAATACAGTTGTATATCCACAACTATCAGGTTTGTGACAAATATATCCACAACTATCGAAATACGCGAAATATCCAAAAATCGGAAGGTTGTGTAACAAATCTATCAACTTTCGTCTGAAACTATAACGGCGTGTCAGACGGCGTTAAATTGACTAACGAAATGCTGAATCGATGCCATCTCACCTGCCATAAGCCAAAAAGCAATCAAACTTTACACCGTTATCTGTTAGACCTCGCTGCTGTAGTCTTCTCTGTTGGCGATTTGGTTAGATTCAAGCTTGGTATCACCATGGCACCGACTGCATGGGAGCCGTCGGAGTAAAAGGGAGGGAATGGTTGGGGATTGTGGTTGGAATCAAAATCTGGGCTTGAGATAGGGTTATTTGGGGGTGGAGGCGTCGATCGGAGGAGGATCAGTGGTTATCGGACGTGTTTCTAGGTTAGATTTTTAGTCCCGCTGTCTGTGGTTTTTAGGGTTTTTAATTTTTTTTCTCTTGTAATCCACGTCATTCAGTGGGGTCAGAAACACGTCAACTAAGCATCCACCGTTTGTCCAGTCATCAAGTTAACTGACGGAGTTAACGGAGTGGACGAAAATGGATATTTCGTGTATTTCGATAGTTGTGGATATATTTGTCACAAATCTGATAGTGGTGTATATATTTGTCACAAACCTGATAGTTGTGGATATACAACTGTATTTTGCCTTTATTCAACTAGCCTATTTGGTATCTACGTGTAAAGTTTGGTTGCTTTTTGGCTTATGTGGCAGATGAGCTGGCATCGATTCAGCATTCCGTTAACATCGTTTGACACGCCGTTATAGTTTCAGACGGAAGTGGATAGATTTGTCACACAACCTTCCGATTTTTGGATATTTCGTGTATTTCGATAGTTGTGGATATATTTGTCACAAATCTAATAGTTGTGGATATACAGTTGTATTTTGCAACTAAGCTATATTCATTAAGAAATGTGATAGACCGATAATTGCACATGTTTTCACCCCTATTCTGAAGCCGTTTGTGATGTGGAATCTCGTGTTTTAAGCCGATTTCACGCTAGGTTGTGTGTTTATGTCATATTTCAGGACCCGGCGTTGGAATCGAGGCGGAGAAACGAGTTCTGGGTCGAAAGGAGCCGAGTTGGGACTAAGGGGGCTGCAGGAGGAAAATACCCGGTCGGTTGGCAAAATACCCGACCGGGTATTTATCGTTTTGGCACCCGTGAGAAGCAGAAGGGGGCCCGGGCGATGGCCTTAAATCCCCGGTCGGGGATTTTGGTGGTAGACCGGGGATTTTCCCTGAGGACGAAACGGTGCGCTTCAATTATACCCGGTCGAGACCCAAAATACCCGACCGGGTATTTCGACCGGGTATCGCGAGGGCAGCTGATAAAAGCCGGTTTTGTGCGTTTTTGCAAGGGAGAGCTGGGTTTTGGATCCCAAACACCCAAGGGACGAACCCTAGAGAGAGAGAGCGACTTGGGAACATTCTTGGAGCTATTTTGGAGGATTTCTTCGCCATTGGAGCTCGGGAATCAAGCCCGGACTTGAAGACTGATCATCTGAAGATTCTTACTGCAGTCTCTCTCTTCTCTATGGAGTAACTTCCCTTCACTTAGGTTTTGAGGAACCCTAGCTATGTTTGTTTGATTGGATGATTGTATGAGTACTCTGACTTGATAATCTTGAGTTCATATTCAATCTATGCATGTTTTCACGATTCAATTCTGCTTTAGTCGAGATTATTGATTCTGCTTTGATCCTATGAAAGCGAATACCTGATTAGGTCAATAGAGCACCATAGATTGATAGTAGTGGATCGATTGCTTTAGTCGAGGGTTGATTCACTGCTTTGTATCGATTGAGAACCTCATTCGATAGAGGGAATCTAGTTCAGAACGCCTTGATCAGTTGTTCTAGAGAAGGATACGTCCCTCTAGGCAATTGACTCAAGAGGGCCTTGTTCCTTTAGTCGAGACTCAAGGTCTAGTCAAGGATTCTCCGCATTGTGAATGAAAGTGAAACACGTTAGAGATCATCAATCGTTAATCTGGCTAGTGGCTAGGGGGAATCATACCTAAGTGAGTTCCCAACCTGTAATTAGATTAACTTTAACTGTAGTTTGCTAGAGTAGTTTTTAGTTCTTTCATCTTAATCTGTTTTGCTAGATAACGAACTGAAGCTGAGTAATAGTAACTCTAGAGACCCGTGGATTCGATATTTATTGCTTGAGCCACTATACTGCAGTCCCTTTCATTGGTTACACTTGGCCATTGTTAGGAGTTGTGTTTTAGCGAGTCAAAATGGTAGCAATAAGCCACCCTAAATGGCACAAAAAAACAACACCAGTTCACAACTAAGGGCCCGTTTAGTATCATTTTGTTGTTGTTGTGGTTGCAGTGGTGTTTTGTAAACAGATGTACAACCACAACAGGAAAAAAACAGAAAACAAAAACCTGTTTAGTTGATAAATCTGATAAATCATGAAAACTGAAAACAAGAAACAAAAACGCGTTTAGCTACTACTATAAGAACTAAAACCAGGAAAAAGAGATATGTCCTCAATATTAAGCAAAGTCTCACAAAATTCAATTTGTCTAACATCTTTCATGTTCCTTACATAAAAAATAATACTAAACATGATTATCACTCCATAACTGGTTAGCAATGACATCACGCTTCTCGGTCATCTCACGTGTTGCTGCATAGCTGACGTTGAACTCAGTGAGTGGTAGGGCGTCGGCGGCGGGCGGAGGCAGGGCGTCGGCGGCGGGCTGGGCGGCGGGCTTGGCGGCGGCTCGCGAGGGGGAGGCTGGGCGACGGCGGGCTCGCGCGGGGGAGTTGGGCGACGGCGGCTGGATGGGCGGCGGGCTGGGCGGCGGGTTGCCGGGCGGATGGGGGAGACGGCGCCTTCGCCGGGCGGCTGGGGGCGACGGCGCATCGCCGGGTGGAGGCGGATGTGAAGGGTTGGGGCGCTGTCTCTGACTCTCTGTGAGAAGAAGAAATAAAATGGAGAAGAAGAAAGAAAGGTTGGGCGGCTGTCGAAGTAGGGTTTTGGGGGGGGGGGGGGCGGATGTATTAAAAAAAAAGAAAATTTTTTGCTTCTGTGGGGATTCGAAAACTGGTCTGTTTTAATGAAATCAAGCGTCCAACCAGTAGGAATCCCGTGTGCAACATGTTTAAGAATCAGATCCAAAGCTATAAATTGTTGTTTCTCATATTTGGGCCTTGTTGTGCAACTCTGATTCACAACAAAAAATAAAAACCCAACTAAACACGTTTTTTTTTCTTGGTTTTCTAAATTTCTTAAAACACAACAGGAAACAAAAACAAGCAACAATACTAAACGGGCCCTAAGTATACAACATCATATCACAACCAAAGTATACAACGTTAACCAATACAGACTACCATTTACACTATACTAAGTATGTCATTATCATAAACAAAAGATGCAACTTGAGAACAGCTAGCTTTTAATAACAACAATAACTCTTGAATTTTATTTACAAACTGAAATTTAGTAAGCCTTTTTTAGCATAAAGTCTT